TATTATTATTATTATTATTATTATTATTATTATTATTATTATTATTATTATTAATTTCCCCTCAAAGCACAAAATCGTGAGGGAGCGAAGTTTTTCCTTGGCCATTATCCCAGTCCTTTGTAGTTCCACCTTCTGCCCTTTGAAATTCTCACCCTAGCCATTCCCACGCTCCCTTGCAGCCTAAAATCCCCCGGCTTAGAAAACTAGCCGAATCTCCCTTGGCTTTTTCTACGGGAGGGAAGATGGACCCACGGATCGGGAAGTAGCCCTCCCCACGCCTCTCTTATCTCAGCCCTGCCTTCCAAAACACCAAATCTCTTCCTTGGACTTTCTTATTCAACCTGCCTTTGGATTATGGATTTCCTGTCTGGCCGCTCACAGAGGGTCAGATGAGGTAATCGTACCTCTCTATTCAGCCCTTATTCTTAACACTGGGTACACCACAGGGTTGCATGTTGAGTCCCTTACTCTATACTCTTTATGGGCACGGCTGCATTCCCACTCACGCTAGTATTACTACTGCTAAATTTGCAGATGATACAACAGTGGTGGGATTCATCTCTGGGGGGGAGGATGAGTCTGCCTACTGAGATGAGGTGGGCCAGTTGCTTTCGTGGTGTGGAAACAATAACTTGGCCCTCAACACCAATAAGACCAAGGAGCTGATAGTGGACTATATAGAAGGAACAGATCAGACATCCAGCCCTTGCTTATTGATGGAGACCGAGTGGAGCAAGTGGGCAGTTTTCTGGGTGCTACCCTAAAAGAGGACCTCACCTGGGGTGCTCACATTGCAACCCTGGTCAAAGGGGCACAGCAGAGATTAGACTACCTGAGGCTTCTCAGGAAACAACTGAATGGAAAACTGCTGGGGACCTTCTACCGCTGCACCAGAGAGAGTATCTTAACTTACTGCACCTCTGTATTGGTTTGCCAATTGCTCAGTGGCAGATAGGAAAGCGCTCCAGAGGGTGGACATCACTGCCCCTCAGAGTATCATGGGTTGCCCTCTCCCCTCTTTGGAAGAGCTTTATAGCTCCTGCTGCCTTAAAGAAGTTCAAAACATCCTCAAAGATCCATCTCATCCTCGGCAGCCTTTTTTTTTTTTTTGAACTATTACCATCTGGCAGACGGTACAGGACGATAAAAACAAGGACAAATAGGCTCAAAAACAGCTTCCATCCCAGGGCAGGAACTCTATTGAATTCCACTGTATAATGCAATCTTAATGCAATATCAATTCAATATATAGAATGTGAGGGACGGGTGTTTGTGTTTATTTTCATTGTCAGAACGTACACTGAAGATGGTGTTTAATTTTGTTGCACGAGGTGCAATGACAATAAAGTAAACAATGTTGAGACTCTAGAAAGAGCACAGAGAAGAGAAACAAAGACGATTAGGGACCTGGAGGCTAAAACATATGAAGGAGGATTGCAGGAACTGGGCATGGCTAGTCTAAGTGAAGAGAAGGACCTGGGGTGAGATGATAGCAGAGTTCCAGTATTTGAGAGGCTGCCACAGAGAGGAGGAAGGGGTCAACTTCTTCTCCAGAAGGCAGGGCAAGAAAGAACGGGTGGAAACTCGTCAAGGAGAGAAGCAACCTAGAACCAAGGAGAAATTTCCTTCCAGTGAGGACAATTAACCAGTGGAACTGTTTGCCTCCAGAATTTATGGATTTTCCAACACTGGAGGTTCTTCAGAAGAGATTGGCCAACCATTTATCTGAAATGGTAATAGGAGACTCCTACTTGAGAAGGGGGTTGGACTCGATGACCTACAAGGTCTCTTCCGACTCGTTATCCTGTATCCTCAACGTGAGCAATAAAACACTTCAAAAGCGTTCGAACTTTGAAGGAGAAAAGTGCAACCTCTTGTGTTTTTTTTAACCCATAGTGCCTTTATTGATTAAAAAAAAAAACCTTTCCGAAAAGGGTAATTATCAAATTGCAAGACCGGTAGCACTAAAATACTAATTCGGGATGCTGCCGTCGAGCTGATCATCCCGAGGAATAAAGCTGTTGGGACGGCTGGAGATCTCCAAAGATCCACCCAACCACCGAAAAGCACCGAGGCGGCTGAAATTCCCCTGCCAAAGAGAGAGCAGGGGTTGGGTTGCTTTCCCCTTTCTTTGGTTCTTATTGCTGCTGTGGTCGTGAACTCCAAACCGTTGTGTGTGCGTGTTTCTTTTTTTAAATTAAAAACAAAACAGAACGAGACAAGAGTTGCCCCAACGGTGAGGCAACGGTGTAGGATGAAGACATTTTTCAAGAGCTGAGTCGCCCTTGTTCCCCCTTTTGGCTGTTGTTAAAAGCCACCCGCTGGCTTTTTGGAGGTAGGAAGCATCAGAAGAATTGAATTTCCAAGGTTTAATCGGCCTGCGCAGTTTGGATGTCCTTTGGGTTGCTCAGCAGGCGGCTTCGCGCTTGATGGGACAAAACCCAGGGCTGCTGAATCTGGATTCAAAGAACAGGAGAGAAGGCACCAGTTCAACCCAACAGGATTATCTCTCTCTTTTTGGGGGGTGGGGGACGGTTTGAACAGCAAGGACGATTCTGGGGTCATTGGGGATGGCAATTCCTCTCTCTCTCTCTCGGACGAGTCCGCTTTGCCTGCCCTCCTTCATATGGGCTTGTACAGCAACGTGGTGACGTATTTCTTCTTGTAACGGTGGGTGGCGCTCAGCACCATCACGCCGTCCTAAAGAGAGGACGAGAGAGCCGTTCAGAAGAGGGAGGAGCTGCCAAAACAGCCCCCTCCGCCCCCAAAACCTGGCAACTTTTAACACTTGTGGACTTCCAAACTCCCAGAATTTGAATCTCAGAAGGCTCAAGGTTGGACTCAGCTGTTCCAACCTTCCAAGGTAGGTAAAATTAGGACCCAGATTGTTGAGGGGGCAAAAGGCTGACTCTGTAAACTGCTTAGAGGGGGCTGGAAAGCACTGTGAAGCGGTATAGAAGTCTTAAGAGCTATTCCTATTGCTTTGCTCTTCGTTTTCCTTCCTTCCTTCCTTCCTTCCTTCCTTCCTTCCTTCCTTCCTTCCTTTCCCGTGCAGTGGTTAGAATGCAATATTGCAGGCTAACTGCCCACTGCCAGGAGTTCAATCCTAACTGTCTAAAGATTCTCCTCAAGTGGAGAGAGATTGCAGAGGAAGGGATTGCAAGAGAGTCAGCTATGCTGGCTGGAGAATCCTGGGAGTTGAAGTCCACAAGTCTTAAAAGTGGCCAAGTTTGGGGACCTATGCGCCAAAAGAAGGGCCCCGTAGCGGCCAGGGAGGCCTCTCTTACCTTGATGGACAGCGCGTAGAGGTGGTTGAGCATGACGTGGTTGGGTTCAGGAAGGAGGGCCGGGTCGCACTAAAGAAGAAAGAGCTTCGGGTTATGGATTCGACCTCAAAAAGGACCCATAGACAGGACGTCCTCCCTGCCACATGCTAGACCAGGGCTTGGCAACCTTAAAACACTCCAAGAGCCATTTGGAACTCTTTCCCACAGAAAACAACACCAGGAGACACACAACCTGGGTGGGCATGGCCAACTCAACGTCCCTCCCACCCAGTCACCTGACCAGCCCCTAGCCAGGCCTACCCAGGTTTCGTGGCTTCCGGTGTTGTTTTCTGTGGGAAATGGGTGTCTCTCTCTTTCCCGCCACCTCCCTCTCCCTCTGAATATCAACTCTGAATCGGAGAAGCCCAAGGCCAGGAAGGCTAACCATTTGGCCTGCTTCTCTACTTACAGAAATCCCCGTGTCTTTGTTCAGGATGACTTGGAGCAGGTGGGGAGGAAGGATGGGGGGCGACTTGAGCCTCTCTTCCGGCTTGACGATGTAGGGGTCCTGGTGATACGGTCCGGGGGGCGAGCTCGACAGTTCTGGGGAGAGTGAAAGAGGGAGCATACTAGATAAAGGGCTTGGCAACTTCAACTCCCCAAATTCTAGCTGGCTCGGGAATTCCGGGAGCTGAAAGTCTCAAAGATGGGGAATTCTGGGAGCTGAAAGTCTCAAAGTTGGGGAATTCTGGGAGCTGAAAGCCTCAAAGTTGGGGAATTCTGGGAGCTGAAAGCCTCAAAGTTGGGGAATTCTGGGAGCTGAAAGCCTCAAAGTTGGGGAATTCTGGGAGTTGAAGTCCACCCATCTTTAAAGTTGCTGCAGTTGACAAACAATGGGCTACATAAAGGGGAATTATGATGGCTGAGAAGTGCTGAGGAACTTTCTCCTTCACTCTGTGGAGGGAAAACCGACGAAAAGCGTAGTATAAGCCTTAAAACAGGCATGCGGCTGTTAAAAAGGAAGGTCTTCCCCTCAACCAGTTTGTGGCCCTCTGCTCTTTAAAAAGTGACGGGCCTCGGCTGCCAAAGACTCCCCGGTCCCCAAGATTATGTAGCTCTGGGTAGTTTCCAGGATGGAAAAAAAACACACTTCTGAGAGATGTATTTCATGCTAAAAATAGGGCTAAGGCCAGAATGTTGGAAAACCGCTAATTCTAAAGCCGAATGAACAAGGACGTTCAAGTTTGCAGCTATTAAGATTGTTGGCCGAGCAGGTACAAAAACAGCCAGGGAAATGATGGAAGCCTGGGAAATGGTCTCCTTGTCAGTCAACAGGAGGGCTGATTCACCACCAATTAGGAGCCAAAGACTTGGCAGCCCAAGGCAACAACAGCCAATCGCGGGCCATCAGCACACCAATCAACCAATAGGAAAGCACCACATAAACATGACTCGCGAAAGAGCCCAAAGCACCACATTCCAGTAGAGAGAAATGCCCTGAGGGCGGGCTCGAGCCCAAGTCCGAAAGCTCGGAAGAGTAAGCCTCTGCTCCGAGGGGCCAACTCAGATGAGACTGTGCAATAAACAGAAGCGTTGTCCTCACTTCCCTTTCAGGTTCTTGCACGCGCTACTTACCGGAGACGTCAGAGCATTTTTGGGAATCGACCATTAAGGCATCGAAGACTTCAAAGTCAGTCTTCTTCACCTGGATCACGTTGTTGACGGTTCCTAGTTGGCTGGTCACAACAGGCTAGGGAGAGAGATTGTTAGATCCAGCAGGGAAGTTTGTTAGATCAAACAGAACATTGCCCTATAACAACCCCATAATCCCTTGCGGGGTGTAGCCTGGGCAACTAAATGGAGCTGGATGTTTTGCTGGCTGGATGCCCTTCCTGTCGCCAGTGCGGAATTTTTTTCATCTCATGATGCCGAGAGAGAGAAATCTCTGCCTCTACTTAGGATCAAACTCACAGCCTCCTGATTGTGAGGCCAGAGCTCCAACTCTAGGCCAGCACACCACTCAGTTGCCCTATATTTACTTTGGGGGAGAAGGGAGGAAATTATGTTTACCTCCCCAAATATTAGCCATTGAAATGGAAAGCTCAGCTTAAGATTCCCTGAGCATATGGAAAAGGTGACAAAAGAGGCAACAGGTGAAAGCTTGTTAAAAAGAGATCCAATCCAATCCGGAATTTCCCGACCAAGAGAATAATTTATCAGTTGGACGGCTTGCCTCTGGAAGTTGAGCGTGTTCCATCCAATGGGGGTTTTCAAGAAAAGATTGGGCAAACCATTTGTCCAGGATGATATAAGGACTTCTGCTTGATCAGGGGGTTGGACTAGATGACCTCCAGGCTCCCTTCCAGCCCTATAACTCTATAAGTATTCTTCCCTTTGAAGGAAGGGGCAGTCTCTTGAGACCAAGTCCCTGATCTTTTCCGAACAATCTTAACTCAGCTCCTTGCGACTTTATGAAAGCCCATCAGGCTACAAATTTTTGTTCTGACCCAGGCTTCCTGAGACCGTAATTAAGCACACGCTTAGTCCAAACAACTCTTGTTTTATTTCAACGCTGGGAATTATGTGCATTCCCAGCCCATAACAAGTCCCAAACAGTCCCTCGAGATAAGCACCCACCTTTCTCTCCTTTGAATGCCTGCCAACAACCAGAGTGCCAAATGAATTATAAAAAACCAACCGAAGTACAAAGTCCACATGGAGCTTCAAAGTTTAATCCGAACAGAGCGAACAACTTTGCTTCCTGCAAAGGTTTCTTCACCTTTGCCTGTCTATTATACCTTAGGGGAGGGCCAATCACCTCCCAGCCTTACTCCCGAGTCGCCCTTTTGTCTCAGCTGCTCTCCCCTTCTAGCAGCTCTGTGCATACGCGCACTGGAAACAGGCTCCCCTTGTTCCTCTTCCTCGCTGCTGCCAGACTCCAGAGGCTCTGGAGTCAGCGTCCCACTCCCACAGATGGTCCTGGCCCCATTTCTGCATCAGATGCAGGACCCTCGTCCAAGTCCTCTCCAGATTCCCGGACTGGTCCCCGTTCTTCCCCACTGCCCGATTCCGCTGCAGTCTGCACTGGCTGCCGGCGAACCACAACACTTTTGTGCCGGAATAGACCGTTTACACATTTATCGCTCCAGATACATAAATGGCAGGAGTGGCTGGACCACTGTTGCTATTTCCCCCAACCCAAATAACCAGAAAAGTTTAACTCAGGAAGAGCAGAGGAGCTGGGAAGAAGCTCAACTGCCAGCCATCAAAGGCCAAGAAATCCGTTTATTCATTCCCAGGGCACAAAAAAACGAACCAGATCGCTGAATTTGAAAAAACAAAAACAAAACCCAAACCCTCACCTCGGAAGGATCGTGCGTCCACTGTCCATCCACGTAGAACTTGTACTGGTGTTCGCCTTCCGGAAGATCAAGGATCGCGACGAAATTGTTATGGCTGCGCCAAGCGGGGGAGAAAAGACACAGCCCATTAACACCCATTAAAGGCCCAATTCAGCCATTCCATTGCAACCGACTCGGGGGAAGGACTCATCACAAGAGAATAACGTTAAGCCCGACAAACCTTGCTGGAGGGTTTGGGGGCCGGTCCCAGTCCAACCTACCTTGTTGTTGTGGGAACAATAAAGAGGAAAGGAGTATTAGACACGGTCTGCTGCCTTGAGTGACTTATAAATGTTTATGGGAATTCTCAGCCATCCAGATCACAGTTGTCCCAAAGGTGCTTTTTTTTTTAAAGAAGCAACTGGAGTTTCTGGTTTTTCTGCAGAAGACGTTTCGCTTCTTCATCCGAGAACCTTCTTCAGCTCTGACTGGATGGTGGAGGAATGGAAGGATTTATACTCCTTGCAGGCAGCTGGTCATTTGCATTTCTTTTAGAGGGTCCTTGAGGCCACTTGGAGGTTTCTCTGTGTCCTCAGGGTCACCTGAGTGGTGCAAATGCGCATGGAGCCTTCTTGGAACTGCTGAAAGGACTATGTGGTAGACTGGAGATAGTTGATGTTGTATTCCCTCCCCTTCTGTTGAGAGAGGGCTGTTCAATTCGGACATCGATGGCCTCTTTGACCCTGAGGACACAGACAAGCCTCCAAGCGGCCTCAAGGACCCCCTAAAAGAAATGCAAATGACCAGCTGCCTGCAAGGAGTATAAATCCTTCCATTCCCCACCATCCAGTCAGAGTTGAAGAAGCTTCTTGGATGAGACAGGAAACGTCTTCAAATAAAAACCAGAAAGTCCAGTTTCCTCTTGAAAAAAGAAAGCCCCTTTGGGACTATTTATAAAGTAATAAAGGCAGGATAAAACGCTAAATCAATAAAAATAAACAGAGGATGCAGCCCTACATATTTATTGGCAATGGACCTCAGGTCACTTCCAGCACCTGTTTTCCTTCAGAAACTTAAAAAAAAAGGGAGGAATAAAGCAGGGAGAAAAACCTATCCCATAATCAAGATTTAAGGGCAGTCTGGGGACACCAGGCACCAAAATAATAATAAAAAAACAAAACCATTTTCCACTGCATATTTATGGGATAGATAAAATAACAAACCGGCCGTCAATCTCTACAGATCCATTAACAGACGTCGCTCATGTATGAACCGATTCTTCCCCAGGGAAAATGAAGCTTCCAGGCTCGCAGTTTACCTCCGAGTAAGCGGGAGCTTGTTCCAACTGTTGAAGGAGCCCGATAAAAAAACTTCCTTGCCTCCGCCGGTCCACCGGAAGACGGTAGGCTGCGCCTGGGTGGGAGCCTTATCGCTCACCTCCAGATCGTGTTTCCAAGCCAGGAATTCATCTTTCTCCATTCCTCCAGCCTAGAAAAAACAGCAGATTTTAGGAAACAAGCCAGGATCGTTCGGGAGATATTATAGCTTGGGGGAGGGGGGGAAACCCATGGTTGCGTCGAAGGCCTTGCTATGCGTCCTCCCCACTAAAGACGCAAGGAACTCAAGCAGGCAAAGGAAGATCACAGACAGGAATCACATGATATTCTGCTTAATGATTGACAGGAAAAGGACATAAAACCAGGCCCAAGACAGTCACGTGATTGCTGACTTAACACCGTCCTTCCCAGATATGGATCATCATTTAACGACTCCATCCTCCCTTGCGGGGTAGAGTCTGAGCAACTGAACAGAGCTAGCTGAGTGTTTTACTGGCCGGATGCCCTTCCTGACTCTGGTGCTGAGTTTTGTTCGGCAGATATATTCTCATTGTGCCCAGAGAGAGAAATCTCTGCCTCTACTTAGGATCGAACTCACAGCCACCTGATTGTGAGACGAGAGCTCCACCTTCAGGCCCCCGCACCACTCTCATTCCCAGATACGGATGGGGGGAAGATTGGTTTTTGAGGTGGTAACACTCAGCGTTGAGATATTTCTTTTTTAATAATTTTTATTAGACATTTTCCAACAGTTTAAAAACATATTTACACTTCCAACAACGTTACACCATTGTCATCATTCATGTTCATATATCAATTGCTATATTACTTTTATATCTGTTGTCTAGCCAAATATACCAGGCGTCCCAGACTAGATACTCAGTTTCATTTTTATCTTTTAACTCAAGGGTCAGCCTGTCCATCTCTGCACAGTCCAGGATCTTTCTTATCACTGTCCCCTCAGTTGGTATATTCTGCTGCTTCCAGGACCGTGCATATACAATCCTGGCCGCTGTTATTATATGTAAAATAATATATACATCTGTTTTAGCATGACTTTCCCTTAATATTCCTAATAAGAACAGTTTCCAGTCTGAATTTGATTTCTCCCCCCCCCCCCCCCCTATTTCCTCTATCCATTTATGAATTCTACTCCAATATTTTTTTTGCTTCCAAGCATGTCCTTCATGTGGAAGAAGGTGCCCTGTTTATATTTTTACATTTCCAACAGTTTGGGCTTTTATTTGGGAACATCTTGGCCAATCTGGCAGGGGGGTAGATATCATCTCTAGAACATTTTGTATATGTTTTCTCTATACGCTGCTGATAGAGTTAGTTTATAATTTTTCCCTCCACATTTTTTCCCAATATTCTAATTCAATGTTATATCCCAGATTTTTCACCTTGGGATATTTCTTAATGCAGCAAGACATCACCTACTTTCATTTCTTCCGCGCTGAAGAGGTCGGCGTCTTCAGGGCTGTCCATCAAAATCTTGGGCCTGTCTCCATCCTTTGAACCGCCGGGGCTGTCTCTTCGCGGGGTCTTATGACCCCCCTGGCGATCGACCCCAGACCGCTCACTGCTGGTGTTCCCCATGGCTCTCGAGGAGGAGGCTGAAACGACGGCAACGGGCAGGTGGCCAATCTTTGATTTCAACTGCTGGCTAGTTGCCCTCGTAAGAGAAAGAAGCCAAAACCACCCCTAGAAGAAGAGGAAAACAAACTTTAGATTAAAAAAACATGGCTCGACGGGAACAGACAGATAGTCCTCGACTTACAATGGTTCATTTAATGACCGTTTAGTGAACTTACATCACTGAAGATGTTTGGCAAGTGACTCATACTTATGACGGTGGCAGTGTCCAGAGGTCACGTGATCCCCTTTTGTGACCTGACCAGCAGGGGTTGGCAACCTGCGGCTCTGGAGCCATATGCGGCTCTTTTGGCCCTCCGCTGTGGCTCCCTGTCGGCTGATCCCACCCCTGACCCGCTTAACAACCAGATCCACTTAACCACAAGGTGACTGACTTAAAACAACAGCAGGGAATTTCCCTTAACTATGGCGGGGATAGGAAGGTCGTTAAAATGGAGCAAAAGCCCCACCTAACCCAGGTCTCGCTTAATGACATAAACGTTGGTCTCCATTGTGGTCACAAATCAAGGACTGCCTGTATAAACTCCAGGGAAGCCCGGAGAAGCAAGGCTTGGGGGAAGGGGGGCAACTTTGAGCCTTCTAGGTTCTATCATATCACAAGAGCCAAAATGGACCCCTAACACCAAAAACGTCATTAAAAAAGCACAACAAAGAAGGTTCTTTCTGCACCAACTCAGGAAGCTCAAACTGCCCAAAAGCTGCTGCTGATCCAGTTCTACAGAGGAATTATTGAGTCCGTCATCTGCACCTTTATAACTGTCTGGTTTGGTTCTGCAACCCAACAGGACAGACACAGACTCCAGAGAGGAATTAGGATTGTAGAAAAAACCATGGCTACCAACCTGCCTTCCATCAAGGACCCCTATACTGCACGAGTCAAAAAGAGGGCTGTGAAAATATCTCCAGACCCCTCACATCCCGGACATAAACTGTTTCAACTCCTTCCCTCAAAACGACACTATAGAGCCCTGCACATCAGAACAACTAGACACAAGGGGAGTTTTTCCCCGAACGCCATCACTCTGCTAAACAAATAATTCCCTCAACACTATCCAATTATTTACAAAATCTGCATTACTATTACTATTAATCTTCTTATCACCCATCCCCTCCCACTTGTGACTGTATGACTGTAATTTTGTCGCTTGTATCCTTACGATGTATATGGGCTGTTTCCTAGTATGATTTGATTGCTTATTTGTACCTTATGACTATCATTAAGTGTTGTGCCTGATGATTCTTGACTCTTGATGAATGTACCTTTTCTTTTACGCAAACTGAGAGCATTTGCACCAAAGACAAATTCCTTGTGTGTCCAATCACACTTGGCCAATAAAGAATTCTATTCTATTCTATTCTATTCTATTCTATTCTATTCTATTCCTAATTCTTATTCTATATTCCATATTCTCTATTCTATTCTATTATTTTTCATTCCAACATTCTATTCTCTTCTAATTCTATTCTATTTCTAATAATTCGAATTCTATTCTATTCTTATTCTACTATTCTACCACTATAAGCCTGATTTATGTACATATGCTCTCAATGTACTTATGTACACTGAGAACATTTGCACCAAAGACAAATTCCTTGTGTGTCCAATCACATTTGGCCAATAAAGAATTCTATTCTATTCCATTCCATGGAGACCCAAGAGCCCCTGGGTGGAATTGCCAAGGCCGTCCTGTCCTACCTCGCGGGGCTGTTGTGAGCCCAAGACGGGGAAGCGGTGGGTTGGAGGGGGGGAAAGAGACGGGCTCCCAAATAATCCCACGCCCCAATCAGCGCTCCTTGCGGGACAAAGGAAGCGCCGATGAAGCGGGGGGCAAGGGGCTCCCCCGGGGGCGGATCAGCCGCCGCACTCTGCACATGCTCAGGAACCCCGAAGTCACCTTGCGCCCGATGAGCCGCCGCCGGTGGTGGCTTCCACCCGGCCACCTTCAAAGCCCGGAGAGGCGTAGCGGTTCACGCCGATCTCCTCCTTCCTGCACCGGCTAAAGAGCCACAGGAGGAGTCGCCGGTGCGGATCGCAAAACAAAAAAGGAAAACCACCCGGTTCTTTCACTTCCGGGCTCCCCGCTTCCGGAGGCCCCGCCGCGTCCTCTCCTTCCGGTTTCCGGGAAGCGGCTCTCGCACACCGCGCGTGCGCGTTCAGAGCCCCGGAGTTTAAAAAGAGCTTTGCTGGTTCTTCCGCTTCGCGCTCGGCCGAGCTCCCTGGACTTGCAATGACACCAAGCGGCCAGGAGGGGGCAAGCAAAGAATGAGAGGTGGGTGGGGGGAAAGAGAGTTTCACCGCCCGCCCCGGGGAATGCTGGGAGTTGAAGTCCACCTCGCCTCTTCTTAATAGGGCCAAATTTGAAAAGCCTGGGCTGGGCGTTTCCCACGTGCCCCAGAATTGGGGTGCAGCCAGGATCAGAAGGTGGGGGGGAAGGAGGGCTTCCTTCTCCCGTTCAAGCTTGCAGCCATCATTATATTGACCAGCATTTTAAAAAAAAAAAACCCACCCAGAAATCAGCTTCCTAATTTTGCCTCCCAATCAGAATAGAGCTGGAAGGGGCCTTGGAGGTCTTCTAGTCCAGCCCCCCTGCTCAAACAGGACATTTCGGACAATGTGACTGTCCAGACTGGGGGAAAGCAGCAATTTGTCCCGAAGCTTGAACCCAGAATACAGGCTCAAATGAGAGAGTTTATGAACACTTGATTTCCCTCCAGTTATTCATCCAGATGTTGACTGAATTGGGCAATTTTGTCCCCTTATTTTTATTTTATTTTATTTTATTTTATTTCTTTGTCAATCAACCCCTATCAAGTCCTTTCCCAAGGACCTGTTTGTTTGTTTGTTTGTCAAGCTTGTATGAGAAAACAAGTATCAAGAAACAAGACCTAGCCAGCAGAGGTTTGGAAGCAACGTTTTTTAAACAGAATAACGGCGTTGGAAGGAACCTTGGAGGTCTTCTAGTCGAACCCCCACCTCCTTTGCTCAGGTAGGAAACGCTACATCCTTCCGGACATGTTGATATTTGATGGTGTTAAAAGCTTTTCTGAGTAAAAGCTGCCTTTTGCAATTGACTGGTGGGGATTTTGTCAATGCCCATGGTATTTTAAGCGGTGCTTCGGATGTTTTGGGATGGCACCCAGGTTGCCTATGGTTATTGGTACTGCTTTCTTTTGTTGCTGTTGTTCTGTTTTGTATTTTGTGATATTTTAGATTAGATTAGATTAACAGAGTTGGAAGGGACCTTGTAGGTCATCTAGTCCAACCCTCCGTTCTGTTCCGCTGTCTCCAGGTATGGATGGTTGCATGGTCCGTCAGAAGCTTAAACTGGATTGGGCGTTTATACCCTTCCCAAAAGCATGAGAGAGGCCAATAGTGTTAAAGGGTATTAAAGTACAGTAATTAAATGAATTGATTAAATTAAATTAATACTATTCCTTATCCTATCCTATTCTATTTATGTTCTATTCTATTCCTATTCTATTCTATTTCTATTCTATTCCTATTCCTATCTTATTTCTATTCTATTTCTATTCTATTCCTATTCCTATTCTATCCTATTCCTATTCTATCCTATTCTATTCCTTATTCTATTCTATTCTATTCTATTCTATTCTATTCTATTTTATGGATTGCATTGGCTTTGTTGGCTGCCGCCGCACACGGCTACCTCATATTTAACTGAGCATCCATCCGTCCAGCTTCCCACGCCAACACGGAGGACTCAACCACTCACCTCTGAGCATGGACAGATTTCAGCCTTCCAGGAAATCTTGGTCCAACTTGGGCTTTGCGATGCGTTGGAACAAAAATCTCTCTGGTCTAAATAATCTGCAGCGTATTCTCACCTCGTCTACTGTAGATACCTGGGTATATTTAGCAGGTCCTCTCTAGGATTACAGACCAGGATATGAAGTCTCTGCTATTTTGCAGCTCAGCTGTCCTTAAGACCCCGAAGGAGGCTAACCTGATCCAGGCACACGTAGAGCCCCCACATCTGTCTCTGCCTGTAAACTCTGCAAAGAAAGTGGGGGAGGGAGAGAGGAGGAGAGCAGGGACTTGGGACTTGAGCCATCCCAGATCTGCTCGGGCTGGGAAGGGAGAATTTGACAGCTGAAGTCTGAGGCCATTCTTAGGACCACAAAAAATAGCGTCAAAATTGCTAATTACAGCTCAAAAGAGGTTGACCTCCGAAATACCACCTGGAGAAGGCGGTTGTGTTTGTGTGCAGCAGGAACCAGCCTACCTCGTTAAACGAAAAAAGGTTTCAAAGTCAGTTTTCCGTGAGCGCCACAGGACCACCAGCGTAGTTTGGTGAACACCTATTCCACCTACAACGAGGCCGTTCAACGGCACCGAAAAAAGGAGAAGCAGGGCCAGTGGTACGTGCGATTCAACTGGTGTAACAACCGGTTTGGTGATCACGCACTTCGTGTGAGCACGTACACTTCGCGTACGTCAGAGGTTCTGACCAGTTTTGGAGAACCGGAAGTGGAAATTTTGAGTAGTTTAGAGAATCAGCAATCCCGCCTCTGACTGGCCCCACCAACCCCATCTATTCTCTGCCTCCTGAGGCCCAGCTGATTGGCTGGGTCTTCTTGGGTTGCCCTGCACAGGAGAACGGAGCTGGAAAGCAGGTTAGGGTGGGGAGGGAATGGGGATTTTGCAGTATCCTTCACCTGCCACGCCCACCAAGCCACGCCCACAGAACCGGTAGTAAAAAAAAATGAATCCCACCACTGGTGCACATGTACACCATTTTAAAAAGCCCATTTTCAGCTATAATACTTACCTTCTATTGCACCCCCAGTGAGTAAAACAGCACCATGCATCAGCTGTGCTTCAAGACAAGGACATAAAGGACGGGAAAAGAGCAGGGGCGAATGGGCAGAGCCAAACCATCAACGGAACTACCGGTTCGCTTGAACCGTTGCAAACCGGTAGAATCCCATTCCCTGCGCGTGGGCCGTTCTTCGCCTTTGCAGCATCCCCGTCACTGCGGGGCTTACCTTCAGAGGCCACTGATTCGCACTTATGACCGTTGTGGGGTCTCCAGAATCACGTGGTCTGATTTTGTGACCTTCTGACACAGGCCAAGCTCATGGCAGGTTCACTGAGCGACCAAGTTATAGAACTGCAGTGATTCGCTTAACAAATGAGTGCGAGAAACGTCGTACGATGGAGGAAACTTCCCCTAATGAATTTCTCGCTTAACAACAGAGAGCAAACCCAGGGACCTGGCATTGCTTTTACTGCTTCCCCCCTAATTGTTTCCCTGATTCCTGCAGCTTTTTTGGGGGGGGCGGGTCACTCCTATAAGAACCCCCCCTTTGCTCTCTTCCTAGCTGATGTCCACATCTGTGCCGAAATGACGGAAGGAAAAGCACGTACAAACCAATGTAAGTTTATTCTTTGATTTTCCTTAACAAGCCGGGTTTTCCTTTGAATTCTGCAGCCTGACCAGGGGCCTTGAATTCCACCAGATCCCCCCTTTAAAAAAAAAATAATTAGGTGGAATAGCTGAATCTTTTCCTATCATACCCCTGCTCCACAACGAAGAGACTAAAATTACATTCCTGGCTGCCACCACGCACGAGGATTTCTGGATCCGGCATAGCAAAGATTTAATATTTTTTATCATGGTAACAACATGCTCAATTTCAGCTTCCACCTTTTTGTTATGTGGATTTCTGCACTTCCTCCCACAACTCTGTCTTTCTCAGAAGCCCAAGGAGCAGGCAGTAACTTTTGATTTCCCAGCGTTTTCTTCTTTCTGAGGAGCAAGTCCTCCCAAAATACACAGAAAGTGGTGGGTTTATCCCCATCTCCCACCCTCGTTCCTTCAAGAGTCGTGGTTTCTCTGGATAATGCATGCTTTACGCAACTCGCAGACAGAGGGGTAACAGCCAGTGGAAAGAGGCACGATCAAAACAGATGCATTACAAGTCATCGTAAGGAAGGTCGGAGTCATTCCTTCCCGGAGAGAGGAGAAAAAAAAGGGGAATATTGTGGAACAAGTTTTGAGGAGGGGAAAGCAGGACATCCTTATTGTCGGAGGAGAGAGAAGGTGTAATGCAAGGAGAAAAAGCTTCATTCTAGGACGGAGTCTCGGCAAGCCACCAGATCTGCAAAATACAACATTGTCAGGTTGTGGTTGTTTTTCCTCCCCGGGGTGAAAACTTCTCCGGGGGTGACCAGCAGAGAAGTCGATCTGGAGTTTGAAGACTCAGTGGGGATGTGCCTCCTGTGCGCCTTCATCCCTGGTGCCCTTGAGGTGCTACATCAGGTTCACGGATGGAAGTCAGAAGTCCAAGGAAACTCCCATTTCCTCTTCACCTCCTTGTGAATCAGGCCTTAAATGATCTCTCCCCGATTGGGAAAGTTCAGCCAGCAACGATCTCCAGCTTGGAAGACAGCCAATGGATGAGTTGGGCGCAAAAGCAAGGCAGGCAAGCTACACGTGACACTTCTGGCGGTGCGTGAAAAAGGAGTCGCGGGTTGCAAAAAGAGAGCCCCCTAAAGGCATTCTTTAAGAAAAGACTGGTAATTATTATTATTATTTTCCTGTTTTTGGTTCTTGACGGGGAGGGATGTGCAAATCTGGACGCACAGCCCCACCACAACCGGCAAACATCCCACGGAGATTTTCAACCGGACGCCTCGATCCAGGTTTTGTAGGATTAAAAAAAAAACGAACAAACCGGATCTGGTTTGTTGAGCATCCGTGGGTTTCATTTCTTCGTGGGACAGAACCCCGTGTCACGGGTTTGAAGAATGGGAAGCGTTCACATCCCGCGTCTCTGAATTCAGATGGTGTGCTGCGTTGCAGGGGAGGGAGGGAAAGAAAAAAAGAAAATGAATCAAGACGGGAAAATCCATAAGAAGGAAAAGGAAGGGAGGGGAGAAAGAGAGAGAGAGAGAGGCAGAGAAATTGAGAAAGTTTGACATAGTAAATTATTCATCCACCGGGCCTAATGGACACATTATTTAATGGTCCGTGTTCCCATTAAACAAACAATCCGTTGCATTAGCAGCTCGGTGCCCTTTTGAATTCAAAAGCATTTAAGTTGCCATTGACAGATGTCACCTCCCCAACACTCAAAGCTGAATTATGCATCAGGGCAATCTAAAAGAATCAATAGCCAGCCCGCTTGTCAGGAAATGACTCGAAGCTTGGAGCCTTTTCTTGGAGGGCTTGAATGTTTTCATCAGAATCCCGCCGCCCTGAACATGGGAATGTGCCACCAAGCTCTCCTTAGGCCATTTTTAAAAAATATATTTTTTTAAAAAAAATTCATTTAGAGTACATGCAATTCATCTTCCATTTATCGCTGTGTCGTCTGGGTTCAAACAAAGTTTACATCCATGTTCATTACTTTAGTATTCATTCTCTATTCTTATCTCATTTTTATCTTGTTAATATACATAATATCTCTATTACTGTAACACTCCTCTTCTAAACATATTTAATTCTATTAACATCTTTTCTATATTTCACTAGTAGAATAGAATAACAGAGTTGGAAGGGACCTTGGAGGTCTTCTAGTCCAACCCCTTGCCTGACAGTGAGAACAATTAACCAGTGGAACGACTCACCTCTAGAAGTTGTGGCTGCTCCAACACACTGGAAGTCTTTAAGAAGAGACTGAGCAACCATTTGTGTGAAAGGGTAGACTGTTTCCTGCCTAAGCAGGAGGTTGGACTAGAAGACCTCCGAAGTACCTTCCAACTCTGTCACTCCTATTCTGTTCTGTTCTGTTCTATTCTATTCTATTCTATTCCATTCCATTCCATTCCATTCTTCTTTCTCATTCTATTCTATTCTATTCTATTCTATTCTATTCTATTCTATTCTATTCTATTCTTTCTCTATTGTATTTATTCTTTCTCATTTTGTTCTATTCTTCCTCATTCTATTCCTATTCTATTCGACTCTGGGGTCACATGACCCCGAGACACTGCAACTGTCATAAGTACATGCCAGTTGCCAAGCCTCTGAATTTTGATCACATGATCGTGGGGAACGCTACAACGGTAATCAGCGTGCAAAACACTCATAAGTCGCTTTTTTTTCCAGGGGTGTTGTAACCTTTGAACCCTTGCTAAAGGAAGGGTTGCAGGTCAAGGGTTTCCTGGTACCCCCAAGGGTTGCCAACGGACCTGAAAAGATGGGGCCCAAATGGCCCCTCTGCCAATAGCCAAGCCACTTTCTTCCAAGACACGAGGGCGGCCATTTTACTGCCGCCTTCTCTTTGCAAATGGGCTTTCGCCCCTCCCAAAAAAAGATAGTTTTTGCCTCTCACAGCTGCCCATTTTCATTTACAAGCACGCCTCTGGGGGACCCCAAAGCTATTCTGGTAGATGACGATCAGCTTCAAGCAGGGATTCTTCCAAGCAAGGCCGAATTAGCGCTTTGGAGCCTTGTCTGTCATCTCCCAGCTGTCGGCTTTCTTGGTAACTCGACGCCCGCTTGGTGGGAAATCGCACGCATCGTTTTGTACGCTGGTCTCATGGCTCTACACCTCCCCCCCCCCCCCAATGCAATTCCTTGCCCATTGTCTAAGCTAAGGAACTTCAGACACAGGAAAAAAAACACGGGTTTTTGTTTGCAAGAATCTGACTCCCTGGTGGTGAAATGCTTTGTGTTTGCCTCCTGCCTCTTTATTAGCCCCCGTGTTCAGCTATAATCCTTCAGACATGTGCAATCTTCTGCTCCCTTTAATTAAAGGCGCTCTTTGAGTTAATGGAAGCAATTAATCCAACCGCTGCCAATGGGAAATGTCACGGTTCCAGTTTGGAACATTAAAAACAACAACAACGTAGCTCTGAAGAGCTGGAGGGGACCCTAAGGGGTCATCCAGTCTAGTCGTCTGCAAACGTGGCAACTTGGTAATATGTGTAGACTTCAACTTGCAGAATTTCCTAGCCAAGCATGGGTTGACTTCATCTCCCAGAATTCCCTAGGTAGCATAGGTAGATTTCAACTCCCAGAATTCCCTAGCCAAGCATGGCTGGACTCCAGCTCCCAGAATTCCCTAGCCAGCATGGCTGGACTCCAGCTCCCAGAATTCCCTAGCCAGCATGGTTGGACTCCAGCTCCCAGAATCCTGCAAGTTGAAATCCACACATCTTAAAGTCTCCAAGTTTGAAAAACACGGATCTATTTTAACCTTCCGGAATGTGCAGGAAAATCCATTTAATTGTCCTTCAGAGAGACAGCTTCACCTTCTTCTTAAAACCTGCAAAGGTGAAGGACCTGAAGCAACAGGGAAAGCGTTCATATGACAGAACAGCTAAGAGAAAATGCCTATCAGGGCCAGTTGGAAGTTGCAGGCCAAGCAGTTGAATCTTTTGGCGCAGAGAATAACAGAGTCGGAAGGGACCTTAATTTTTATAGGAATCGAAAAATCAAGGCTCCCATTGTGGTGGTTTTGTGGGGTTTTTTTTGGATTTTTTGGAACTTCTGGCAGTTTGTGCTCCTCCCCATGTGTTTGGAGACATCTTAGGACAGGTCCCTCTGCCCCCACATGCCCGGGTGGCTTCTTCAACCTGCTGGGGGCATCCGGTAACCCAATCCTTTGGCAGGGACAGCTGTTGCCTGTGGGCGAAAGCTGCAGACGACGGCCAGATGGACCTGCCTCTCCCCAGTCTTGAGAGGGAAAAGCAACCAGAATTGGGTGCTAATTCATTCCCCCAGAGCTGGACCAAATTCTCCATCTGCTATTAAGCAGGGCTGGGATTCAGCCGGTTTGGGCCGGTTCAAGCAAACCGGGTGTTAAATTTAACATCCGTTTCGCCTAACCAGTAGTTGAACCAACTGGCTGGCCCTAGTTGTGCCAGTTTACTATCCAAATAAAAAGATGTCAGATTCAGGAAAATGTCAATGTACCAGCAATCCTCCACTCCACCCAGTAACTCCGAGACAGACATCTTCTCAAAGGTTCCTTTTTATTTGGATAGTAAACTGGCACAACTGGGGAATCCCGAATCTGAAAGTTTCCCTCCAAACTCCCAAAACTTTAACCTTAGACTGTCTACTATTGACCTCACCCCTCTCCTAAGAGGTCTGTAGGGAGCGTGCATAAGTGCACCAACGTGCCTACCGTCCCTGTCCTATTGTTTCTTTTTTATTTTTCTTATATGTATCCCTGTATTCATAACTATGTTTTTACTGATACCTATTATCTTGTAAGCAATCGACAAATAAAATAAATAAAGTAAAATGACAAATCCATCATCGCATCCCTTGGCCCAATCACCATCCGTCCCAACTTAAGACTTCCTCTCACTTATGCGCAACGCAACCTGACCTTGAATGATAAAAAGAATGTTGTTATGTCTAACTATATACACTCCCAAGAAATTCTCCCCCCCCCCCCCTTTCCCCGGCTCCAAATGTGGCAGCGTGGGGGCCTCTGGTCTCAATATGGCTTCCGAAGCTGACACCCCTCCCCTCCCAGAAGTCTCCATGCAGCCCATTTTGGATGCAGGAAAGTGCAGGGTCTGTGCGAAGGCTCTGGGAGAGTGAAAAATGGCCCTCCTGGAAGTTCCAGAAGTAGGCCTGTTTCCGGCTTCTGGAGGACCTCCGGAGGCCAGGGAAGGCCGTTTTCGCCCTCCTAGAGGTCTGAGGGAAGCCTCCGGACTCTGGGAGGGCGAAAAATGGCCCCCCCCCTGGAAGTCTGGAAATGGGCCTGTTTCCGGCTTCTGGAGGACCTCCGGAGGCCAGGGAAGGCCGTTTTCGCCCTCTCAGAGAT